TTGCACCTGAGCTGCAGCTAGACCTCCAGAGTTTTCTGGCTAAGCGCGTTTTCTCCGCCATGGTAGCTTCGCCTGTGTGCGCTTCCTTTTCAACTGCGATCACGCCACCTTGGCGTACACTTGAGTTTCCAAAAGGCAGTCCTGGGCTTACCGAAATCCAGAAGCTAAAAATCGACTTAGGACACCAGCAGCTGGCTTTCGTGATTAAGCTCGTTAAGATCTGCTTGAAACTTGGTTTGTTGTTCTGGATTGAAAACCCCGATAACTCCTGGTTTTGGAAGCAGAGTGATCGCTTTATGAGTTGGGGCGGCATTTTAAGCGATGAAAGCACTGGAGATTTCAGAGTTGACCAATGTAGATTTGGAACGCCTTGGCGAAAGAGAACAAAGTTCAGAACGAACTGCCAGTTGCTCGGTCAGAAATGCCTCTGTCGGTGTGAGCGAGGCCACGTGATCTTGCGAGGCAGATGCAAAGAGAGAGGCGTCAATTTCACCAAGTTGGCGCAGAGCTATCCTAGGAAGCTTTGCAAACTTTTGGCCACAGCTTTTGCATTAGATCTTGGACAGATGCCAGGACGCAGACGGTTGCAAGTGAGCGACTGTGCCAAGTGTTCTGGTTTAAGATTTGGCGAAGCAAAAAAGCCAGGGCCTGCGAGGGGCAGAAGACGGGCCCCAAGATCTGGCAATTTGGCTGAGATCAGTTTGCTAGAACCTCAGACGGTCGCCATGCGCTCCCGTTTTTGGCAGAGTTTCTTGGATTGGTTGGTGACGGAGATTGGTGAAGAGTGTTGTCAAACGGTCCTCAGGACTCCGCTCCTTTTGGTCAAATCCTTGGAAGCCTATGGCAGCGTTGAGTTTTCAGCGGGTACCCCGTTGCATTACTATAGACAGCTTCTGGCTCATGCTCAGAGAGAATTTCCTTTAGTCAGACAATGCATGCACATTGCCTGGCAAGTTGTTTCACGCTGGGAAATCCTTGAGCCTACTCAGCATAGGCCCCCTCTGCCAGAACCTTTACTACTCGCGATGAGCAGTTTGGGCTTGGTTTGGAAGTGGGCCTCTTTTCAGTGCTGTCATTCTGGCTTGTTTCTATGGGATTTGTCGGATTGGTGAAATCTTGAAGGCCACCAGGAAAGATCTCTTGACGCCGGAAGACCTGCTGAGTGACGACGAAGTTCTATACCTTAAGATACGTAAACCAAAGACCAGAAACAGAGGACCTTCGACTCAGTATGCCAAGATTTCAGAAGCTGACGTGATTGGTTTTCTTACTTCGGTTTGGCAAAGGTTTGAACCGAACCAGTTTCTTTACCCAAGTTCGGCCAGCAATTTTCGTAGACGGTGGGATGCTGTTCTTCGATGCATTGGTGTGCAGAAATGGCACAGACTCACTCCTGGATCACTGAGAGGCGGGGGGTGCGTCGCCGCACACCGCAAAGGAGTGCGTATCGAAGACTTGCTCTGGAAAATGCGTCTGGCTCACACTAAAACCTTGGGGTACTACTTGCAAGAAGCTACAGCTGAATCGATCCTTCCAGCTTTGACGAATGAGTGTAGGGAGAACATACTAGCGCTCAGGGCGCTGTTGCCTTTTCTTTTGCAGAAATACCGACAGCAGCGCACAGCCATGACGTAGTCTTACTGTTGTTTCGCTGTAGGCTGCTCGAGCTCAGTGGAAGATCATCGTCTTGATCTCCAACACTTCCTTTCCATGCTGGCCAGCTGTGCTTCGAGGGTGGAGCACAAAGCACACAGACTAGTTGCTGGAGTGAAAACAAAGCGCTGAAGCCCTGCTTCTTTGTGTGCAGGGAGAGCAGTACAACATGTTTATTACATTCACTCACAAACGCACACTCCTGATAAAGTACGTACAACTCAGCCATGTGACACTCTTGTGAGACACTCTTTCCTTTGCTTGCCGTAGGACTCCTATATACTGTAGTGTTGTTTAACGTGAGCGAAGCATGAGTGGAAGGAGGGTAGTTGGAAGAGCAGGTACGCGCAGCTGATCAGACTACAAGAGAGCTTCGGTGGGCGTAGCTCTATGGACCTCCTGTGCCCCTCTGCATTGAAAACACGTCTACTTTGCGGAAGGAGGGTAGTTGGAAGAGCAGGTACGCTCAGCTGATCAGGCTATAAGAGAGCTTCGGTGGGCGTAGCTCTATGGACCTCCTGTGCCCCCCTGCATTGAAAACACGTCTACTTTGCAAAAAATGATGTGCCCGCGAATCATAGCCGAATCATGCGCGCAACCTCGAAGAGTGAGCCATGCCCCACGGATGCACCAGACTGATTGGTTGAAAGATGTAGCGGCAGCGCTGGCTCGAAAGCTTTTGCGGCAGCCGGCGCCATGACCACGAAAGAGAAGAGCCGTGAGAAATACTGGCGGAATAGGTTGTCAGCTCTCCTTTGTGAGATCCGAGAGAAGGTTGGTGCGCCTGACGGTGTGGTGCTGTGCCTGCAAAGAAGCCTCACCAAAGAAGAGTTGGCTTCGCTGGCCAAATCTGATTGCCTCGAGCAACGGCAACTGGAAAACTTTGCTAAGGCAGTTGCTGAAAGAAGTGCTGGTGATGAGAAAGCTAAGGAACTTGTTACCAGCGCTGCTCAGGAGCATATTGGTGGCTGGAAGAAATCTCGGAAAATGTTGTCAGTTCCAGGCAAAAGGTTTTGGATGCGGGTGAGAAAGCATGCTCCAAAGCAAGCTCGGGGTAGGAAGACAAAGGTTCATTCTTCCAAGATCCGCAGTGCAGTCCGTGTACATTTGCTGGAAAACTCGACCACCACTGCAAAGCTCATGAAATGCGGCGCAACCGTTGAACCAGTGTACAACTTGAATTTCTCCAGGCGGAGATTATGGACCCGAAGTCTGCCAATGCAGAGACTTTTGTCGCAACCTGCCTGGTACAAGCATTTGGCAGCTCATCACGCCAATTTTGTCAAGCTGAAGTGCCGCACTGATGTGTGCTGCTTCTGCCACAAGTACGACAAGGTCGTTCTTCCCTCTGCGCGCAGTGATGTGGAACTTGCGAGGGCAACAGTGCAGAATGAGAAGCCCGACTATTTCCAGGTCATGGATGCTCATTGGGAGGGGATGGAGCGGGAAGGGCGCACCGATCCGGACGGACGGGCGTCGTTGCAGTACGTCAAGTTCTTGAAACTGTTCATTGACAGAACGTCAGACGCGCGGCAAAAAACGGCTACCTTGCCGGGCACAGTTCGCGCACGACAGCTGCTGAAAGAGAGTGAGGCTACAGCTTCTTCTCTCCTGGGAAAGCATGTGTCAGTTTTGGAGTGTTGTTCGCACCACTTCACCGGTGTTAAGCGACAGCATGACAGAAGAGAGCTCCTAGAAAAGAAGCTTCCAAAACGGACACTGGTGGTGCAAATGGATTTCATGGAAAATATGACCTGGCCACTTGGACCAGAGGAAGCCCAAGACTGGTTCTGGGCAACAGCCAGGGAGTCTATGACTACGCTTGGCTTCTATGCCTGCTATTGGAAAGATGGCAAGCATGTTCGGGAATATTGGCATTACATTTCCCAGATCCTGAACCATGATTCCGCATATGCTGTGCATTGCTTGTGACTTAGATTCAGAATAGTTTCAAGTAGTTTCATCCCTTAGGGCAAGCAGATGGGGAGTGAGTTTTTTTGTCTGTCAGATATTTTCCTTGCAAGCTTCCATCCCAGGAACGATTTATTGAGAAGCCTCAACACGGGTGACATTGATGAGCTGCAGGTGTGGTGTGACACTGGCACGCATTTTCGTTCCTACGAGTTTGCTTGGAACCTCGTAGAGCAATGCCGAGAAAAGTTTCCTACCACTGTCTTGAATTTCTTTGCGGCGCACCATGGAAAGGGCTACTGTGATGGAGCATTCGGATTGCAAAGGCATTGGGTGTCGCAATATGCGCGGACTCGAAACATAGAATGCCTGGATCACATGAGAGCTGCGCTCGAGGAAGGAGCTCAAGGGACGATGGCATTAGACCCACCTCCAGATGGCCCAGCGTATTATGTGAAGGTCTTCGAGCCGTCTCCCAAAACTGCAGTAAACAAACTTGATACTGCCAAATGCGATTTGCAGATAGAATACACATACTGTGTTCTTTTCAGCAGGGCCGCAGTTGGGCATGTACGTGGTTGGAATTTTGTGTACAGTGATCGCATAGACAAGCGCAGCGCTGGGAAATCAATAGGAACAATTCAGTCCATTTCTACCCCATGCTCCGATGAGTGGAGAAGATCTTACCGTGCAACTCAACCAGAAAAGAACCCCCTCAACATTGTCTTGCTGCAAAGGCGGAAAGAAAAGCAGCAGGCTTTCGTAGACACAACCTGCAGTCGACGCAGTACTTTCATGGAAGCCCTCTGCAGGCGAGAGAGGCAGTCTGCGAAGCAGAAAGCCAAGTACCTCCGCCGAAAGCGGGTGCTTGCAATCAACCTCGACGATGGGGGATCCAGCTCAGATGATTCAAGCAGTGATAGTGACAGTTAAAAAGCTACGCGGTGCTTAATTCAACCTGGTCAGGGAAGGATGGGAAAGGTGTTTGCAGTAAAGCCTTGGGAACTAAATGAACAACCTCCAACAAACCAATGTCGGGGTGACGACAAGGACTGTCGGGGTGAGGGCACAAGGACCTCAAGAGACATAGGCTGCCCACAAGAACAGGGAGAGGACCTCAGAACCTCAAGAGACACACGATGTCCTGGGACACAGAACCCAAGAACCCTAACAGAACAAGTTGTCCAGAGCGGATGTGATGGCCAACCGCGTGCACAAACATACACTATTTTAGGGCCATACCCCCGAATCATACCTCGAATCAATCATACCACCTATCCAAACATCCCGGGCTGGGCTCGTTATTTTGATACAGACCCATATATTAACATGTCTCCCCCTTGTGGGGCTCCGGCCCCAAAGTAAAACCACGCGCATGTGATTTCATTGGAACGCAAGTTCAGAATGAGGAGAACTGTTCTAGGTGTCACGCAAAACCATGTGGGTGATAAAGGATTTCAGGTTTGGTTTGGAATCAGGGGTTCAGGTCATGTTTGCATGGGTTCTATATTTGGGGCGTCCTTTCACACCAAATTTAAAAGAGCGCGACAAGATGTGAAAAGATTGCCCACCCTTACTGAGAATTCCGGGGCGTGACCTGGCGTGACCACCGAGATACGCCCTCGTCTAATTACTTTCCTCAAGGCCCCCGTGACTTGGCGTGACCCCCCACCCCCCCTTGTGACCAATTCGAGATGAAAAACTCAATGTGCGAGGTTGCAGTTTGCGCTCAAGCATTCTTTGCGCGGTGAACACCTATAGGTGTCTTAGATGGCTGAGATCAAGGAGGAACCTCCCTCTGTCGGTGCTCCAGCTCTGGATCCGTACATGGTCGGAGTGGTTCGCGAGACCCAGCAAGCTTTGAACGCCGGAATTCCAGGCAACTCAATGTGAATATATGTCAGTTACTGTAGCAGTTGGCATTGTTAGAATTCTAGGAGTGTTTACGCATCTGAATCTTACAGTGTGGTGGAGGCGCTGTGCTTCCAAGCACTTCGGAAGCTCCATCGGTGACTATGAACGTAGAAGGGCCGGGTGCCTTAAATTGTTTTTGCTTAATTGAAAGTCTATAGATTAAACAAAGAACGCGGAATGGTGGAAATCCCAGCGCTTCTGTTTTTGTCAGTGGTGCTTTGTGGCTTTTCAGCCATGATTTCGGGTGGGGTTGAGGCAGCGATTGAACCTATCTGTTCCACTTCCTCGTATGGACATGGGAGATACACCGGCTACCGTGGCCACACTTGGAGATTCGCAGACTCAGGCTGGAACCACCCAAAGTTCTTGAATGTACTATATACAATATACATACAATAAATATGGTGAACATAACATATGTTTAAATTTCTGTTTGAATTCCCATTGATGCGGATTGGAAGGCGGATCTGGCTGTCCATGACTTTGCCGAGAAGTTGCTTGGATCTAGTCTAGAGCAGCTGATGCTTGATCAGGAGACCCAGCCCGGTGTGGTGCTCGACCCCAAGGCATTCATCACCCCACCTTCGGCAGAAATTCCCAATCAAGCGAGCCCTCAACACTCAGCAGCGCAGCCATCCCAGGCTCACATTGATGAGGAGTTGGCAAGAATGGGATGGGCAGCTCCCAAGTCATGCAGACCTCAGCCCACACACCCGATTTGTGAGGTTAGCCAGGCAGGATGGTTTGGACATTTCCTATTTTACAACCGCACTACAAACACAGGTGATGCCCGCAGCTCCTGTTCAGCCTGCACCGCCTCTCCAGCCAAGTGTGCCTGTTCAGCCACAACAGCCGTTGCCTGTTCAGTCACATGTTCCTGCAGCCGAACAGCCTGTTCAGCCAGTTCAACCGCCTGTTCAGCCACATGTTCCTGAGCCCAACAGGCTGTTCAGCCACAGAATCCAGCAGTTCAGCCACATGCCCAACAGCCTGTTCAGCCACAGGCTCCTGCAATTCAACCGCCTGTTCAACAGCCTGTTCAGCCACAGGTTCCAGCCCAACAGCCTGTTCAGCCACAGACTCCTGCAGCCCAACAGCCTGTTCAGCCACAGACTCCTGCAGCCCAACAGCCTGTTCAGCCACAGGTTCCTGCAGCCCAACAGCCAGCCCAACAGCCTGTTCAGCCACACGTTGCAGCCCAACTGCCTGTTCAGCCACATGTCCCTGCAGCCCAACAGCCTGTTCAGCCAAAGGGTTTTGTAACCCAACAGCCTGTTCAGCCACAGGTTCCTGCATCCGTTCAGCCAGCTCCTCCGTTTCAACCGCCTCAGAAGCCAAAGGAAACTTACTCCAGACGTGCAGCCGCCAACTTGATCAACCGGCTTCGTGCAGCCCCTGACTGTGTGGAGGGCAAAACCTCCTTGGCGAGTATGGTTTTTGATGACAAGAAGAAGTCAGAGTTGATCACCATTCTCGTTGAGAACAGCGGCGATCTGGAAAAGGTTCAATCGTTCTTGTAGTTCCAGGAGGAGAGGGGGAAAGCCCAAGTGGCCCGCAAGAAGGCGCTTCGTTGGACGAAGAAACAGATGCAAGACACTTATGGAGAGGACGTCGCCAAGGTCATGAAACACAAGGAAGAGGAGGGGATGGTTGAGGCTGATGAGAACAACCCTGACGGCATTGTGTACTTGATTGCCCAGAAAGAGGACGAGGTGGAGGACTATTCACGATCAAGCGTCTTGACCGTCTATTTCACATTGAAACAAATTTGGGAATTGAATTTGTTTACACTCTGCGAAATGCATGTGTATGTCACATTGGGGTGTTAACTTGCGCAAATGCCGGTTTAAGGCTAAAAAAATAGTGGAGCAAGAACTGTTTGCATCCTACCCCATAGCCCTAAGAACTAGCAACCTGGTTCCCGCACCAAACACTTCTTGTTCCCTCAGTTCGTCGTTGTGGACCACTCACACAAAGAACACACATAATTACTGAGTCCAGTCCAGACTGTGGATTGTTTGCCCTTGCGATTTGCGGTCACTGCACCCTGACTTCCACCGCCCGCTCAAGTCAGATTACTGTCAGATCTGATCACTCCAAAGAAACAATTTGCTGTGACAACAACGTGGCGTGATCTGGATTATTTACAGTAGATGCATGCACTTCACACATGCACATGCAAAGAACATATTTTATACATAGGTCTCTTCAAGTGTCATGGTGTGGTCTAGTAGATTGCATCTTGATGAAACCTTGGTGTGTCCTTTATCCTTGGAAGTGCGATGGACCGCGGATTTCATGGTTATGATGATGGTGGACAACGTGGTCGCCGACCAACGTATGGCATAACGACTTTATTGGAGGGGCTTCTGGTATCCAGACTTCTCAGGAACGCGTCTTTGCTGCCAGAGGCAAGGACAAAAATGTTTTGTTTAGGACCTAGGATAAGTTTCGGTCAATCATCAGGCCCTCAGCGGCTGAGGGAGCCTCAGCCCAGGCTTTTTAATTCCAAGAGTCGAGTTAAACAGAACAGGTTGCAGTGCGGTGTATCCATTTCATATATGGACCAGAGGAAGCGAGGACACTGGACTGAGCATAGCATTAGCATGGCATTTAATTGATAAATTTAATTTGTACATTTTGCTGTCGCTGTCACATTCCAAAGTATAGTAAAGAAGGTGAGGGAATCTAGCCTTTGACTGTTCCACGAAAAGAAGTTACGGTGTACGCAGTCAGGTGTTGCACTTTCCAATTTGTGCGTGTGCAAAATACTCTGATATTTGTTGCACCTACCTGGACTAATATATGATGGTATTGGTCATTGCTTACAAAGTCGGACATTGTAAACTTACCATTAGTTCCCCTCGTACCATACCGGGATCGTCCCTTGAGAAGGCCCTGTCACTTGCCACTCACTCGCTCGCTGAGGAAGATTGAAGAGTTGATTGCTTCAAAGAAGCTGCCAGTTCCACATGCCTCCACTCTAAGCCGCGCACGTATTCGCTTAGACATTTTGCTCTCATGAGAATGCGTGCTGATCGATTCCAAGCCTTGGAAAGGTTTCATATTTTCTTATCGAGTGATTCCAGCCCTCAAGGGCACGTTGATTTCCTTATGAGCATAGAGGACTGTGTCGGCCACCATCGAATTGCACCATGCTTGTCAACCAGCACTGATGAAGTTGCAGCGTGGAGTCTTTCGGGTGCGTTTAAATCCAGTACACTCCCTGTAGCAGTACTAGGCGCTGGCAATACATCCCTTCCAGCGAAGTGGGAGGCCATTTTGAGGTCAATTTGTTCAGACTGTGGTGGGAAAGCAGTTCAAGTCAAGCAGTACGTTGGCTCAATCCTGGGGTATTGTTCGGACCTGGGAACTGAATTCTATGTGGACCAGGCATGGTTCTTTCAATAAAGTCAAAGGCAAACAAAGAGTGTATGCGCGTGCTCACAAACGTATGTATATTTACTTAGTTAATTAGCGGGCCAAACCCAGGCCCGGGCCCAAATCCTACTACTACTACTACTACTACCTTTACCTAGACTGTCCTAGACCTAGCTACCTAATAGATCAGGCGGCGAGGCCAGGAGGAGGCCAGTACCAGGACTATTTATAACTTAGCCAAATTTAAAGTAAGCCAGACTAATCGTACTAAGAATTGAATTGAACTTTGAACAAAACTACAACTGTCTAACTGACTGACTTTACTCTCAACGCTTTGCAAGCAGCAGCCTTGGACATACAAGAACCGCGGAACCAGTTGTTTCGTCACAACATACTTGCTTGTGCGATTGTGCGATAATCTGAAATGGGAATGAGTGGGGGTGAGGACGGTGAGGATAGGATTAGGAGGCGAGGGACTCTGAGCTTGTCTTTGGTAGACGGTAGAGGCTCTAAGTAGCACACCTTCCTTCCGTTGATTGAGGATCGATCGGCAGCTTGTCCCTGCTAGATGGCAAAGCTCTAAGTTGCATGGCTTCAATGGCTTCCATTGATTGCCCGTGATTAGGAGGGTTGGGAGT